ATATACACCATATCTTCTTTATTCATTCATCCGTCAATGGACATTTGGGCTCTTTCCGTACTTGGGTTATTGTTGATAGCGCTGCTATAAGCTTTGGGGTGCGTGTGCCCCTTCGAATCAGCATTTTTGAAGCTATGTGTGTTTATATGGACAAGAAGATGTAGGCCAAAACAACATGAGCATGGGCCTTATTTTCTCTTTATTTACAAATTTGAAATTTTTCCTTTGAAAATTTTCCAGATACGTAAAGATTACTCCCTAATTACCTCAGTGGATAACTTAAAGGTCTCAAGCTAATTAAGAATCTTAGGATTATACTTGAAAAACATATAATCACTGTTTTTATTAAAAATTTGTAAGAAAAATATGACACTTAAAAATTGACCCAGGCAGTAAAGGTGGAGTGATTGATTCTAGAGGCTCACATAATTTGCAGTGTTTCACATGCAGCCATTAGTTGTTGCAACTCTCATTAAATACACATGCTTACATTTACAGTCTTTTAAAAAAATTTTTATGTATTTATTTCCTAATGTTTACTTTTTTTCTGGGAGAGAACGAGAGACAGAGTGCAAGCTAGGGAGGGGCAGAGAGAGAGAGACGGAGACACAGAATCTGAAGCAGGCTCCAGGCTCTGAGGTGGCAGCACAGAGCCCGATGTGGGGCTTGAACCCATGAACCTCAAGATCATGACCTGAGCCAAAACTGGATGCTTAACTGACTGAGCCACCCAGGTGCCCCCTCACTGAAATTTCTATTGAACAGTGCTGATTTAGAGCAATTCTCTGAAACATGGCTTACTACAGGTTAAGCACGAACCCCTACATTAACTTGTATGTCTACCCTTACCGCTTTTCCCTCTCTCTGCCCTCTCCTTGTAACAGTTTTGTTGAGATATAATTCACATTCCATACCCATGGCCTATTTAAACTATACAGTTCAATGGTTTTTCGCACATTCACAGAGCTGTGCAGCCATCACCACAAGAAATTTTAGAGCATTTTTACTACCTCAAGAAGAGATGCCATATCCTTTAGCAATCATCCCCTAATCCTCACCATACATACCCTCCAGCTCGGAGCAATCAGCAATATATTTTCTGTCTCTCCGTGTAGATTTGCCTTTTCTAGACATTTCATATAAATGAAGTCATACGACATGAAGTCCTTTATGATTGGCTTCTCATTTAGTATGCTGTGTTCAAAGTTCATCCACGCTACAGAATGTATCAGTTCTTCACTCCCTTTTGGGGCTGAATAATATCCTATTGTATGCATAGACCACATTTTGCTTATCTACTCATCAGTGGATTGACATTTGGGTTTCCACCTTTTGGCTGTTATGAATAATGCTGCTATAAGCATTCTTGTATACATTTTGATTTTAGACATCTCAAGTGGTAGCTCATTGTAGTTTTGATTTATATTTTTCTGATTTCAAGCATTTTTCTTTAAAAAAAGGTTTTTTTTTTTAAATGTTTATTCATCTTCTGAGAGAGAGAGAGATGGAGACAGAGTGTGAGTGGGGGAGGGGCAAAGAGAGAGGGAGACACAGAATGCAGAGCAGGCTCCAGGCTCTGAGCTTTCAGCACAGAGCCTGAAGTGGTGCTTGAACCCACGAACAGTGAGATCATGACCTGAGCCAAAGTCCAATGCTTAACCGACTGAGCCACCCAGGCACCCCTGATTTCAAGCATTTTTCATGTGCTTTTTGGCCATTTCTGTATGTTCTTTGGAGAAGAGTCTATTCAGACCTTATTCATCTTCAATTTGGATTATTTGTCTTTTTATTCTTTAGTTGTAAGAGTTTTTTTTAAAAAAAAAATGTATTCTAGATAAAAATGCCTTATCAAATATATAATTTGCACATATTTTAATCCATTCTGCGAGTTGTTTTTTAAATTTCTTGATAGTGCCCCTTGAAGTGCAAAAGTTTTTAATTTTGATGAGGCCCAATGTATCTATTTTTTTGCTCATGTTTTTTTGTGAAATATCTAAGAATCTATGTCAAGATCCAACATCATGAAAATTTGGCCCTATATTTCCTTCTAAGAATGTTATAGTTTAAATTCTTACATTCGGGTCTGATTCATTTTGAGTTAATTTTTTGTATATGGTGTGAGGTAGGGCTCCAACTTCTTTCTTTAGGATTTGGCAATACAGTTGTACTGGCACCATTTGTTTAAAAGAATATTCTTCCCCACTGAATGGTCTTGGAACCCTTGTTGAAAATCAATTTACCATAGACATATGGTTTCTTTCTGGGCTTTCAATTCTATTCCATTGATCTATAACCTATTCTTATGCCATTATCACACAATCTTGATTAGCATTGCATTATAGTAAATTGAATTCAGAAGGTGTGAGTCCTCTAACTCTGTTTTTCTTTTGCAAGATTGTTTTGGTTATTCTGGGTCTCTTGCATTTCCATATGAATTTTATAATCAACTTGCTAATTTCTACAAAGAAGTTAGCTGGGATTCTAATAAAGATTATGTTGGATGTGCAGATCACTTTGGGGGGAATATTGTCTTTTAAACAGTGTTAAGGCTCTCAATATACCAACATGGGATACCTTTCCAAAATTTCATTTAACAATACTTTGTAGCTTTCTGAACATAAATTGTATACTTCTTTAGTTAAATTTATTCCTAGGTATTTTATTCTTTTCTGTAAATGGAATTGTTTACCTTATTTTCAGATTGCTCATTGCATGCATATAGAAATACAATGGGTTTTTATGTGTTGATCTTGCATCCTGCAACCTTGCTGAACTTATTAGTTCTAATCGTTTCTTTTTAAGTAAATTCCCTAGATTTTCTATATACAAGAGTATGTTGAGTGTGAATAGAAATAATTTTATTTCTCTATATTTTTAATCTTTTTTCTAATTTGGATGGATATGTTTTATTTTGCTTTATTGCCTAATTGCCTTACTAGAACCTTTAGTACAATATTGAATAGAAGTGGCAAGAACACTTGGTCTCATTCCTGATCTTAGGGAACCATTAGTATAATGTGAATTGTGGTTTCTCATAGATGTCTTTTATCAGGTTCAGGAAGTTCCTTTCTATAGTTTGTTGAATATGTTTTCCTTTTTATTATTATTATTTTTTTAATGTTTTGTTTATTTTTGAGACAGAGAGAGACAGAGCATTAGCAGGGGAGAGGCAGAGAGAGGGTGAGACACAGAATCTGAAGCAGGCTTCAGGCTCTGAGCCGTCAGCACAGAGCCTGACGTGGGGCTCGAACTCATGAACTGTGACATCATAATCTGAGCTAAAGTCAGAAGCTCAACCGACTGAGCCACCTAGGCGCCCCTAATATGTTTTCTTTTTTCATCAAAAAAGGGTGTTAGATTTTGTCAAGGGCTTTTCCTTCATCTACTGAGATAATTATGTGTATTGTTTTTTTATTCTATTGATACGGTGTATTACATTAATTGACTTTCAGGTGCTAAATTAACCTGCATTCCTGGGATAATACTCACTAGATCATGGTGTGTAACCCTTTTTATATGCTGCTCGATTTGGTTTGCTAGCACTTTGCTGAGGATTTTTGCGCCCATATTCGTCAGATATTGGTCTGTAGTTTTCTTGTGATGTCTTTGTCTGGTTTGGGTATCAGGGTAATACTGGCTCATAGAATGAGTTGAGAAGTATCCTCTTCTCTTACTTGTAAAGAATTGGTATTAAATCTTCCTTAAATGGTAGAATTGACCGATGAATCCACCTGGGCCTGAGCTTTTTTTGTAGGTAGTTTTTTTTATTACTAACTTAATGTCTTTATTTGATATAGGTCTGTTTCAATCTTCTATTTCACCTTGAGTTGTTTTCAGGTGTTTGCATCCTGCTAAGAACTTGTCCATGTCATACAAGTAGTCTAAGGTCATCTAACCCTAAATGCATCCGACCTCATCATATATAAATTATCTATATATCACCAATTTTTCTTTTCTTTTTTTTTAATTACCAGTTTTTCATAATATTCCTTATAATCATTTTTATTTATGTAAGGTTGGTGGTAAGGTCTCCTCTTTCATTCTGACTCTAGTAACTTGAGCCTTCTTTCTCTCATTCTTGGCCAATTGTTATTGATTTTCTCAATTTTTTAAAATAATCAACTTTTGGTTTCATTGCTTTTTTTCCTATTGTTTTTGTATTCTCTATTTCGTTAATTTCTGTCCTAATATTTATTTAGTATTTCCTTCCTTCTGCTTGCTTTAGGTTTAGTTTCCTCTCTCCAGGATCTTAGGATGGAAGGTTAGGTTACTGATTAGAGATCTTTTCTTTTTTCATATAGACATTTTCAGCTATAAATTTCCCTTCAGGCACTCCCATAACGGCATAAGTTTTGGTATGTTGTATCTTCACTTTCATTCATTGCAAAATATTTTTTTAAATTCCCATTATTATTTATACTTTGATCTATTGGTTATTTAGGATTGTATTGTTTTAGTTTCCACCTATTTGTAAGTTTTCCAAATTACTTTCTGTTATTGACTTCTAATTTAATTCCATTGTGGTCATAGAACATACTCGCATAATTTAAATCATTAAAAACTTATTAAGGTTTGTTTTATGGTCTAACATATAATCCATCCTGGAGAATATTCCACGTGCATTTGAGGAGAATATACATTTTGCTGTTGTTGAGAGGAGTGTTCTACAGCAGGTTCTTTTTTTTTTTAAGTTTTTTTTCAACGTTTTTTATTTATTTTTGGGACAGAGAGAGACAGAGCATGAACGGGGGAGGGGCAGAGAGAGAGGGAGACACAGAATGGGAAGCAGGCTCCAGGCTCTGAGCCATCAGCCCAGAGCCCGACGCAGGGCTCGAACTCACTGACCGCGAGATCGTGACCTGGCTGAAGTTGGACGCTTAACTGACTGCGCCACCCAGGCGCCCCCAGCAGATTCTATTTTTAAAGTTGTTATGTAAAATTTCAAATGCATACAAAAGTAGAGACAGCTTATGGTGAACCCTTCATGTACTCGCCACTCAGCTTCAATAATCTCATGGCCAATTTCAGGAGTTTTGACAGGTAATACCTCGGTGGTTCCCGATCACTGTAACAACTTGGATTCTCTGGTCAGTGATGGCTTCCCAGGTGAGAAGGTCAAGAGAGACAAAGATCTTTTGGCATGCTGCCAAAATGTCCCCCGCTCAGGAGTTGAGGAGCAAGCTCTGAGTAGTGGGTAATCTCTGTTGGACCTCCAAAAATGTTAACACAAAGGGAAAACAGAATTAAGCCTTGTCAAAATTTTACGGTACATATAGTAGACAATCAAATAACAGATCCCCTGAGGGTCTTGGAGGAAAGATTTTTAATGCAGAACTATGTTGTTTACATTAGGTTGTTTGCTAAAGTAAGTGCTTGTAAAATACTATCTTGTCTAATATCAGTTAAGATTTTATGGCCGTATCTTAGCATGTCTTTGTAGAGTGTTGAGCAGATACGCTGTAATTTTTGTTTGTGTATTACAAATCATGGCAGGTCTCAGTTATTGCTTATAAAGCTGGCAGAATGCTTTCTTGTTTGCTCCAAGGCCATACTTCTAACACCCCATTTCTTTCAATCAATACATTACAATATTTATTTTGCTTTATTTTGTAACGTCTTCAGTCTTTTCCGAATGTTTCTACTGTTTCTTCTTTCCCTTGACTGTCGCTCAAGTGACCGTTTCCTCGTGTGTCTTGTAATTTATCATTGTGAGATCGTGTTCCATGGAGCCTATCTGTAATAGTTCTTTGACTCGGGTTTAAGGTGTAATCCTTGAGTGAATATTTACATTTGTTTTTGCAAGCACCTGATGTATTAGCAATCCAGGATGTCTTTAAAGTAAATGATCAGTTTGGTGCTTCCAGGATTCTCAAACAGTATACATTCTGGTCCTACACCTGTGTGAGGGTAAAATGCAAATTCTTAAACATATTTGTCTCCCTTTCACTTAGAGGAAAGGGCAAGAGAGACAGGTTTCCTTAATATCTCAAGAGAGAAAGGATTTTTCCCCTGGATTACCAAATGAAGTGTGGTTTTCAGGGTCCCAGCCTTATAAACAAAGGTCTCTAGGTAGGTAGACATCTCACCTGTGTGGGTACTAGGCTTTGTCTCCCTTTCCCCTCAACAAAACTATTCATTTATTATTTTATAAAACTTTTTATTTACTTTAAGAGAGAGAGAGAGAGCATGCACAAGCAAGGGAGGGGGAGAGAGAGAGAATTCCAAGCAAGCGCCGCACCGTCAGTGTGGAGACCAACTCGGGGCTCAAACTCAAGAACTGTGAGGTCATGACGTGAGCTGAAGTCGGACACTTCAGCTTAACGAAACTATTTAACCCCTTAACGAAACTACTTAAATGGAAACTCCAGGCCTCCAGATGTTCCTTGAGCAGTAACTCTTCCATATCCTTGCTTGTTTCTCTGAATCCATGATTTACATTAATTTTGGTCTTTGAGGATTTTCTTTTACTTTTACTAAGCTGGCTAGGCACTTAATAGTTTGTTGTTTTTTTAAATATTTGTAAATATTTGTTGTTTTAGGGGCACCTGGGTGGCTTAGTCATGAAGCATCTCACTTTGGCTCAGGTCATGATCTCAGGGTTCGTGATTTCCAGTCCCACATCGGGTGAGCCTGAGCCCCACCTCAGGTAAAAACACGAGCCCCACTTTGGGTAAACCCCACTTCTCCTCTCTCTCTCTCTCTCTCTCTCTCTCTCTCTCTCTCCTGCTGCCCTTCCTGGGATTCTTTCTCTCTCTCTCTGCCCCTCGCTCACTTGCGCCCTCTCTCTCTCTCTCAAAAAAAAATGTTTTAAAAATAGACAATTGTAGGTGTCTTATGCTAAAAGGGTTAATAGGGTTTGCATTCTGCCATATTGCTGAGCATGGTTTCTTTAAACTTGGAGCTTTATTTCAGCTAGAACTTATTTTAAAAATTTTTTATTATTTGTTTTGAGAGGGGGGAAGGGAGGGAATGAGTGGGGGAGGGGCAAGCAGACTCCACACTTGCAGCACAGAACCTGATGCTGGGCTCCAACTTACAAACCATGAGATCATGACCTGAGCCAAAACCAAGAGCTAGACGCTTAACTGACTGAGCCACCCAGGTGCCTCTAGTTTGAGATAGGGCTATATTTCACTTTTGTAGACTCAAACAGCATAAAAGGAAAGGTGCAATGGGAAACTGGCACTGAGTGAGTGTATGTTAGGAACTTTGATGAGTTCACCTTTACAGACAAAGGATACACAAAAGCAAATGTCAAGTAATAAACAGATTGCCTTCATAACTTTGGTTACTGTCTGCTACCCACACTAGTCCCGATTCCTTTTGATACAAAAGGTTGAAATGACCTTTATTCTTTTTTGTAGTGCTTCCTTCATTGCATTTCCTCTGTTCTCATACACTAGCTTTTTCCTGATGAGCTTTCCTGTTGAGAAAAACTTCTACTTGTTCTTCCTGACTCCTCTAGGAAGGTGGGACCTAAATAAAGATGGGTGATTAGGATCGTGGATAGATTCAAACACTTCGGACTGAGTTTGGGTTCACATAAAGGCAATCCGAGGGTGCTAAGAGAGTAAGTATTGAATTTTCAAGCCCATCTAAATACAGAAACTTAGAACCCAGGATGAATCCCATTGCAATTAACTTTGGAGAACCATCCTAATTCTTTGATATATCAAATACATATAAATAAGCCATTGACCAGAATTTAAAGGTGGTTTTGCTTCACAGTGATTTAAATTACAATGCACAACCTTTTTAGAAATGAGAGAATGCTAAGTGGAGACTATGTTCTGTTTAAAGGTTAAAATATCCAATTTGGGATTCCTTCCTACACTTTGGAATAGAAAAAGTTTAGTCTCTCTCCTTTCTGAGAACACTGTATTTTATTGCAAACTAAATATTGTAATTAAGTTATATCTATATGATAGAAGTCTAACAGTCTATTTTTACTTTGTTTTTTCCTGCAGTGAAGCCTATATATCCCTTTTCTTATTTTCTGCTTCTTTACTCAGAAGATTCCCCTGTTTACTTATCTCTACCTGGCTGGGCTTCATGAAGCATTTGCCATTGTGTTTCCATAGTGCTAACTTACAGACATTCCAATAACTACACACTCCCGATAGTTGTTACAGTCACTGTTACAACAGTTCTTCAGGTCCTGCTTTTGCACTTGGCTGGGCACTGCAGAATCATAGCAACCTCAGAGATGCTGTCGAATAAGAAGACGGCTTCCGCCCCCCCTACCCCCGACCAGCTTTACTGAGTTATTGATGACATAGAACATATGTAAATTTAAGTTGTACAGTGTGGTGACTTGATACAAGCATGTACTGTGAAATGATTTCCACAGTAAGGTTGGTTAACACATCCTGGATGTGCCTTTTTAAGGCTCTCTTTGAGACCTAGCCTAGCTGCTTCTCCTATATGATCTTTTTTTAAAAAAATTTTTTTAACGTTTTGTATTTATTATTGAGAGACAGAGAGAGACAGAGCATGAGCATGGGAGGGGCAGAGAGAGGTTGAGACACAGAATCTGAAGCAGGCTCCAGGCACTGAGCTGTCAGCACGGAGCCCGACGCAGGGCTCGAACTCACGAACTGTGAGATCATGACCTGGGCCGAAGTTGGACACCCAACCGACTAAGCCACAGAGGCACCCCTCCTCTATAATCTTTTTTACTTAAATTGTGCAGAACTACCATGAGGGCTCTAAATGGAAGTAGCCGCTCCCATCTCAAGAATCGACCCAGTGGGCTGTTTGGTAATCATCTATATCTTCTCGGGTGTTCCAAAAATTTGGCAAGGACCTGGCTTGTCTGTCAATACCCTGTCTTCCAATAACCCACTTGAATTCAAGAGCTGGACTTCTCACCTGTATTTGGGAAAGAGACTGAGAATAGCATCATGTTGGGACATTTTAATGGCTGTCTTAGACGTCTAAAAGACCGACAAGCTGTGACTGGTAGTATTCCTGTGTCAGGTATTATAGTTCAATCTGATGTCTAGCAGGAATTACAGGTCTTAAAACCAGTCAGTCTTGGGCACAGATCCTAACTCCTCCACCAGCTGTGTGGTTTGCACTTTAAAAATTGTTCCCTCATCTGGAAAATGGGGATAACACTAACCACCTCATAGTATTGTTCTGAGGATTAAAAAATAATGTGTGTGAATGATGACCCCCCCCCCCCCAAATATCCAGGTTCTAATCCCTGGAACCTGTGAATATTACCTTATATGGCAAAAGAGACTTGGCAGATGTGATTATTAGAGGCCCATTGAGAGGATGTGACCCACCAGCTGGACCCAGACAACTGGAGGCTCTTCACCCCCTTCCATGTGCTTGGAATGTACATTCTGCCACCATTTCCACAATGGTGTTTTCAAGAATGCAGCCTTGAGAGAGCAATGTGTTTTTGAGACCACCTAGATAGTATATGTGATCAAACCCAGTTAAGGCCTCTGTTTAAACTTTTAAGTTTCTGGTGGGTGAGCATGGAGATCCACTGGTCTTGCAGCTGCCTGATAGGAATCCTGTGTGAATTTCCCTTGTTTATTACACCTGTCATCTACCAATCTGGAACGGTCTGCCTCTTTCTTTGGTCTCTTCTTACGCTCCACGTATGGGGACCGATTTGTAAACCAACGGTAATTAAGTCGAAGATCTTAAGATGGGGAGATTATCCAAGGGGCACTTGGGTGCCTCATCAGGTTAAGTGTCCAACTCTTGGTTTCGGCTCAGGTCGTGATCTTGCAGTTTTCTGAGTTCGAGTGCCTTGTCGAGCTCTGCGCAAGCAGCACAGAGCCGGCTTGGGATTTTTCGCTCCCTCTCTCTCTGCCCCTCCCCCACTCACACTGTCTCTGTCTCTCTCAAAATAAATAAATAAACTTAAAAAAATTAAAAGATGGGGAGATTATCCTGGATTATTTTGGTGGGCCCTAAATTCAATCATAAGTATCCTTATAAGAGGGAGGCAGAGGGAGAGTTGACTACAGAGGAAGAAGGCAAGGTGGCTACAGAAGCAAGAAGAAGATGGAGGCAGGAGCCCGAGGCCAGGGATGCAGCTGTAGAGGGTAAAAAAAGGCAAGAAGCCTTTGGGAGAGTGTGGCTCTGCCCACAAGCACCTTGATTTTAGCTTAGTGAAAATGATTCAGACTTCCAACTTCTAGAACTGTGAGAGAACAAAGGTGGGCTGTTTTAAGCCACTAAGTTTGTGGTAATATGTTACAGCATCCATAGGAAGCATACACAGTATGTAAGGGCCGGAACATAGTAAATGCTCGATAACTATTGTTGTCTCACCTCCCCATCACATACATACGCTAGCCACCATTAGTTGAATACTCACTGTATGAAGGTGACAGCACCTGCAGCTTCAGAGTCACCTGAGGAGCTAGGGGAACAAGCATAAGCTCCCAGAGGTTCTGATTCCATAGGTTTGGGAGGAGCCTGGGAATCTGCATGTTTCCCTCTGCCCCCGCCCCCCACCAAAATTCTGATATAAATGTTCTGCACACAGTGTAAGAAACACTGCCTACAGCTAAAAATAATCTGCAGTCACCGCCAAGGTGACCTCAAGGGGGTGAAGGCAAGCAGGAGGAGGCTCTCTTCAAAGGCAGTTCAAGAACAAGCTACAGAAATCAGTCTCCACACCTGTAGGGGCGGCCTTCAGCATTCCAGACCTGCCCTTCTAGAGGACCTGTACAGGACACCTGGGAATGAGATACACTATCAAAATGCCCTTTCCTGGAATCTATAAAAATGGTCACAGGAAAGGTCTTGGCAATCCTCCTAGGAACAGAAGGAATCTGCATTTCTCACCATCATAAACAGTTCATATTTACAGGAACGGTCCTAGGAGTCAAGGAGAAGGTGCCCAGAGGACCAAAAAACAAAAATGCCCTGTTTCCAATTTTATCAATATTTGAGATGTAGCCAGCTGTGTGCTAAGCCTGTGCTGGCCGCTTTATGAATTTCAAATAATTACATAATTCCATTCCATCCTCTTGACAGCATGTGGGGCCGGTAATTTTCATTTTATAGGTAGGAAAACTGAAGTTCAGAGAGGTTCAGTAAATTGCCTGAGGCCACACAGTTGATGAGTACTGAGACAGGCCTCCACATCCTTTCTCTGAGTCGACTGCCTGTGGAAGAATTCTGGATTGCCACAGGGTACAATCTGACCCACACAGCAGCATCTCTCTGCCACTGGCCACTGCTGTCCCCAGGGTGTGCCCTCTGTTAAAGTAGTATGGACCTAGGGGTCCAGCCTGCTTAGTCCACAGCATTCTCCACTTTCCTCCATTGATTTTCTTCTCCCATGGTGGGCAGGCATGGAAGCTTGTGTCCAGGATAAGGGCTACTGCCAGGGTGGGGAAGCTATGAGGACAAACTGATGAGCTGTGGCTCAAACACGACCCAGAGATGAGAGTCATGTCACATGGAGAACCATGATGGAGGAGTAAGGGACACTGGAATCACCTGGATTGTTCTTGTCAATTTTTTCTTAATCTTTTGTGTTATATAGTTTTTGTTTTTGTTTTTAAATAACAGGATGACCATCTGTTCTAGTTTGCTAGGGCCACCATAACAAAATACCAGCCTGGGGGCTTAAACAACAGTTTATTTTCTTATGTTCTGGAGGCTGGAAGTCCAAGATCAAGGTGTTGGCAGGGTTGATTTCCCCTGAGGCCTCTCTCCTTGACTTGCAGGTGGCCATCTTCTTCCTGTGTCCTCACATGGTCTTCCCTCTGAGAGTGTCTGTGTCCCACTGTCCTCTTCTTATAAAGACATTAGTCATATTGGATTAGAGCCCACCCCAATGACCTCATTTAACTTTAATTACCTCTTAAAAGACCTTATTTCCAAATACACATCCTGAGGCACTAGGGGTTAGAACTTCAACATATGAATTTGGGAAGGACACAATTCAGCTCATACCTGCCTATTCAAGCTTTCTCCCACTCCTCCTCAAAGGAGAAAATAGTGGTTAAGGCACAGATCATCAGAGTTTGGCTTCATTAAGTCCTCCCCTATCATTTTCTCTTGCATGACGATAACCCGCTAGCTTCTCTTATGTGTACCTTAATTTCCCCTTTTCCTGCATGACTAAAACAATGAGAAGATGCCACTTGGGTTGAATGTACTATCATTCCAACAACACACTCAGCTGTAATAGAAACCTAAAATCATCTTCGTCTTATATTTCCATGGCACCTTACAGTTTACAGCTTTATTTCATAAACAGTACTCGATGCTTAGCATAACTTGGTTCTGTAGGAGTTGCTAGCCTGATTTTGCAGGTAAGACAAGAGTAAAAGTAACCATCCCACCCCTATGTGACTAGCAGCGTGTGTTAATATGATCTGTTGAGGGCTCCCTCTAACCCTAAACACACATAGGGGAGAAAATGTTGTTTTACTACAGAGTCAATTTTCCTACCAATGGCCAGGATGGGTAATAACACTGTTTTTTTCTTTTTCTTTTCTTTTCTTTTCTATTCTTTTCTTTTCTTTTTTTCTTTTTCTCTTTCTCTTTCTCTCTAAGAATGAATTCTCTTTGGTTCTTTAGAAAACAAGGGCAAATAACTATCTTTGGTGATGGTGGTAGAGGATGCCCCAAGGAGATTATTCCTTTGAAATAAGTAGTGTGTCAGAACTTCCCTCACCTTGCTTCCCCAACTTTATCTTCTGGCCTTTTGGACCTGATGACCGACATGGTTACCCCTTTTTTGATTGTTCCTTTATTTCATTAACATTTGCCCAGTGTCCTCTATGCACCTGGCACTGTGAGGAGCTCTGAGAGGGGAGGAAGCACTGAGATAAATAGGATATAGACCTGTCATTCTAAAAAAGCATATGGTCTAGTGAGAAACTAATATGACTGGGAATATTACAAAGGAGAGAAAGGAGGGAATGAGTAAAGGAATGTCAAGTGTGAGCCACATAGATATGTGGCCATATTCAGTTTTCAGATTTAAAATTTGATGGCACAGAGGATGAGGCCCATTTAAAAAATATGTTTCATGTTTCCTTGGTAGCGATGACAAAAAGTCTCTCCTTGGTCAGACTCTAGTCAGGTCATCTGGGCCTTCTTGATCAGGCCTCATCCTTGGTCTGTAAAAACTGCAGACTCTGCACAAATGATTTTATCCAACCCCCTTCCTCCCCTCACCCCCACTCTGAATCCTTGAATACACACTAACTTGATTTCTTTTTTTTTTCAAAGGATACATGTACCCCTATATTTATTGTAGTATTATTTACAATAGCCAAATTATGGAAACAGCCCCAGTGTCAATGTAATGGAATATATGGTCCATCAGTGATAGTAATATTCATATATATTTTTTATATATGGATGATCTTTTTTGTGGCTGAATAATATTCCATTATTGTATATATTTTATATACACACTAACTTCATTTCTAACAGTTCAAGACCACATCCTTGGATGACCCTTACCCACCTTAAAACACAAAAGCTCAAGGTAGCCGAAAGAATTTACTGTTTGGGTGCCTGGGTGGCTCAGTCTATTGAGCCTCCAACTTCAGCTCAGGTCACGATCTCACAGTTTATGAGTTCGAGTCCCACATCAGGCTCTGTGCTGATAGCTCAGAGCCTGGAGCCTGCTTCCAATTCTGTGCCTCCTTCTCTCTCTCTGCCCCTCCCCCGTTCATGCTCTGTCTCTCTCCCTCTCCCCAAAATAAATAAATGTTTAAAAAATTTCTTAAAGAATTTTCTGTTTGTTCTAGCCAACACCTGATGATAGGCCCCCGTCAGCCTCTATGGAGAATTTGCTAAAAGGGGCTTACAATTGTGAATCCTTCCTCTGTCCCTCTGGATGGATATGTATCTCCTACAACTCAGGAATGAATTTCTCACAGACCTGAAAGCCATTCCTTTGAAATACAATCCTCAGGAAGTATAGGGCCCCTGTCTCCCAGTCTGTGAGAGGATAGAACCTTAAATTCGATTAACTGTCCCCTAACAGACACAGCTGGCCTAATAGCATTTACACTGACCAAGCTTTTGTAATTTTTCACTTCCATGCCTCTGTGCAAGCCCCCTTCCTATTCTCCCATTCTCCCTTGGAAATGCCCAGTCACCTCTGAACAAACTGAACTTGAGTTCAGTTCACTCTGAACCCTTCCCTACTGCAATAATGCATTACTGATTACAATCTGTCCTGACCACTTTAGCTCGTGTCTGGCTTTTTTCATCTTTGACACTGATAATTGCAGAATATCCTCTTAAATCTTCGGGTAAGAAATTGAAAGTTGTAGAAAATAGACTTCCATTGCTCCTTAGAAACAAAACCCTGAGGGAGGGACACACACACACACACACACACACACACACACACACACACTGAAACCAAGGAGAAAAAGTGAAAGTAAATCAAGGTACCGGAGACTTTTCACCAGGGAGACACTGATTAAAAATGCAGCAGAAATCCGGCAGAGGATGCAACTACCACATCTTTCCTGGTGCCTAGTCACATACACCTCCATTCTCCTTGGGGACGAGCAGATGGAGGAAGTGGAGAGCAGAGGCCAGATGAAGAGACATGTCCTGGGCCATTAGCTGGTATGTGTAGACAAACTGGCTTTTCATTCTTTTCCTGTTCCCCAGCTATCCTATCTCAAAAAATAAAAACTAAACTAGACTTAAGTGATGGAGAAGGAAGCTTTGGCAGTAGAAAGAGCACTGAGAAGAAAGTTATAAGAAGGAGCACCTGGGTGACTTAGTTGATTGAGCATCTGAGTCTTGCTTTCAACTCAGGACATGAGCTCAGGTTCATTAGATCGAGTCCACGTCAGGCTCTGTGCTGACAACATGTAGCCTGCTTGGGATTCTCTCTCCCTCTCTCTCTGCCCCTTCCCCACTTGTGCTCTGTCTCTCCCTCTAAACAAACAAACAGACAAACAAACACCCAAAAAAAGAAAGCCCCAAGGAAATGGGTTTCCTTCCTGGTCTGCCACTCACCAGTTGTTTGGTTTTAGGCACGTTGTTTTGCATCTCTGAGCCTCGGTTTCCTCATCTGTAAAATGAGAGGGTTGGATTAGATTATTCTATTTCATTTACATGTATTTATTAAATATTTATTATGTACCCATCACTGTGCTCAACTCCGGGGCTACAAAGATCAGTGGAACCCAGTCCTTGCCTTTATACAGGTGAAGGAGTGAATACTAGAGTGTCCCGGAAGACACGGACGAGGGCATGGGGCCTGCGCAGGGAAGGAAGTGAGTTAAAGAAGGCTGGCAGGGACTCAGAGTCTACCTGAGCAGGGCAGGTTGAGTGTAAAAGAAGGCTAGGAAAAGGAAACTGTGGTCAGAAGGTGGAATTTCAGGATTTGAAAATGTCAGATGTACAGAAATTCTGGCTGGTATAAGTTTACACTGTGTGGACTTGAAATTTTGAATGCATGATTTGGCAACTCATATTTGAACTCCTACCAGTAACCCCTTACAATAAAACAATAAAACAATAAAACAATAAAAAAAAAACCAATAAGACAATGAAGTTCACAGCAGGAGTCACTAGTGCCCAGTCTTTCCGTAGTCTTTGATGATCTTTTGGAATCTAAACTTTCTCAGAAGGGTCTTCAATTATACTTCTCTGTCAGGGCTGTATTAAAATCCAAGCCACTCCAGACTAGATACAGTGCTAAGCCACAGCTCCAAGTCTGCTATGGTGTTTAGCTGCCAGAACTTGCATTAATGACCATTATATTACAGTATGTCTTTTTTTTATTTTGATTCTTTCAATCTCAATTTTGAAAAATGTCCGAATATAGAAAAGTTGGAAGATTGGTACCTGAGATATCCTTAAATCCTTCCCCCAAATTAACCAATTATCAATAACTTGCCACATTTTCATCCTGTGTGTGTGTGTGTGTGTGTGTGTGTGTGTGTATTCTCTATGTATGTGTATATGTGTGTGTTCTCTCTATGTGTGCATGCATATATATGCACACATATACAATCCATATATATTTTTCTGAAACATTTGGAAGCTGCAGACATCGGGATACTTCATCTTTAAACATTTCAGCATGTATCTTGAGAAAGAAGACAATTTCCTCCTACACAATCACATTATTATTATCCCATCTATAAAAAATCAACATTAACTCAATAACGTCAACTAACATACAATCCATGTTCACATTTCGCCCCAAAGTCTTCTGTAGTTTTTTGGGGTTTTTTTTGGGGGGGGGAAGGGATTTAATCAAGTTTCTTGCCTTGCACGTGGTTATTACATCCCTTTCTTTACCTCCTATGAATCTGGAATGGGCCTTTTGCCTTTTGCTTTTGTTTTGGTGTTCCACGGCACTGAATGTTTAGGGGAGCCCAAGCCAACTACCTTGTAGAATATCCCATTCTGTGGATGTGTCTGGTGGTTTCTCGGGCTTAGATTCGAGGTAAGGACATCTGGCCAGGGCATATCCCAGGAGATGTTGTGTGTCTATTACTGTCTCACAGCAGGAGGCTCAGAATGACTGGATGTTGCATTGTTGATCACTTGGTTATCGTGACGATCACCAGATCTCTCCATTATAAAGATATGCTTTTCCTTTGGTAATTACTTTGTGATCTGTGGGGTGACACTTGTGGATCTGTCCTCTTTGGGTGGTCATCTCTGAGAAAAAACGATGGGGTAAGAAGAGCAGAATAGGATGGGAAAGGAAAGGACAGTGGAGGAAAGCCAAAGGAAGCACAGTAAGGGAAGACATGGGGAGGGAAAGTGGAACAGTTGTCATAGTCTACTGAACAAATTAAAGGACTGAAAACAAAACTACATGTCACATTTAAAATTATATGTAAAGCCTCCTGTAAATAATGTGGGGGAAAAAATGGGAAGCGACGTAGCTGTGACTAAAAGAGTAGAGGGCAGACTGAAGTTGCTTCCCTGCTTTATTGGACACTGACCCCAACTTAGGTTCAGTGACGATAAAATAAACTCCAATAGTGATCACTTAATTAGCATTGTTGACATTGCCACCTAGTAAATTCTCCCACTTCTTAATTATGCCTTTATTTTAGATGTGACTCTTTATTTTAATTATATCCAATTAGATGTAATTGCATATTCTTAGTTCATTTCATTATGGCTATGAGCAGAGAAGCACTTTGCCAAAAAGAGTGTGTTGACATTCTGAATATTCTCTTTATTCCTCTTTGCAGCTGCCAGAGAGTGCAGGGGTCGTTGAGTTCACACATAGGTTTCCCACTATCAACTGCATCCCTGTGGCATGCATTCATTTGACATTGCTCCTGTTGAGACATGGGGTCTACACCCTCTCCCATTGAAACTGGGTGGGGTTTTGTGCTGTTTAAAATCAAGACAGTGCTGTGGAATTGACATTATGTGACATCAGACTCTAGGTCATAAAAGTTGATGCAGCTTCTGCTTTACCCTTGGGAATATTCACTCTGGACTCCAGAGTGCTTTGTATGCAGCCCAACTGCCCTGTGGCCAACTTACTAGGAGAAATACCAAATTGACTCCCAAGGAAACCATGGGAGAGTCCCGGAGACTACAGAGAAGGGTGCTGGGCAGTGCCCAGATGCTTCAGCCTCTCCCCCTCCTACTACCCCAGCTCTAGCTACCAACTGCTGGATGTTGTTTTAAGCAACCATGCTTGGGCTGATTTATTTTATGTGCAATAGCACCAGTCCCTCATCCGTCCAGTTTGTCACCTTCTTCTAAGATGCCGGGTTGCTGTTCTGATTGGTTCCAAAAACCAAAGTGGCTCAGTGAACAGACATAAGGAATGTGGCTATTAGAATGTATCTGAATATAGGCCCATTGATCATATCATTGTCCCCAGAGCTCTCCTTTTGTTGTGGTTGTGTCATGAAACTTTAGCCCTCCTTTGCTGACATAGCAGTGGCTATCTTCTCCTAACACCCACAGCTCAGGATCTCAACAGACAAAAGCAGTGCAAAGTAAGTCTAATTACATTAGTGTGATGGCACTGAACTTTAGACTCGTAAGTGTTGTCTTTGGGTTTCTGCCTTTCTGCTTGGTTTTGCCATTTAAAGGACATCACCATCCCTTGGGCTCAGTTCTCCCTCTCTGAGCCAGGAACAATTCCACTCCAACCTACTTCACCAGGTCATTGAGAGAGGCATATGTGATAACATATTTGAAAATATAACGTGAATTGTAACATAGTGACCAAACAAACCTAAGAAATTATCATCATCACTGACAAGTTATTCATCTGCTTTTAATTTCCTCATCTGCAAGGTGGGAAAAATATAATACCACCTTCCTCCTACTCTCATCAGAACACTGCTATAAACATCTGCAATAATATCTAAGATCAGTCAGATTTGGGAGGAGAGGCCAGGGTGAAATATGTTCAGTAAAATACAGGGTATCTATTCAACAAATATACATTGAATGGCTTCTATGTATAGACACTAAGCTGGTTGCTGGACATACTATAATCAAGAAATGGTCCTTGCCCTCAAGGAGCTTATTGTCTAGTGGAATGTTATGGACACCTCAGGAATCTATTTCAATACAGTTTATTTATTTATTTTTAGGCTTATTTATTTATTTGAGAGAGAGAGTAGGGGGGGAAGGGGCAGAGAGAGAGGGAGAGAGAGAATTCCAAGCACGCTCCACACCATCAGTACAGAGCCCGATACCGGGCTTGAAACCATAGCCATGAGATCATGACCTCAATCAAAACCAAGAGCTTGGACACTTAACCCACTGAACCACCCAGGTGCCCATATTTAGTTAGTTTTTTAATGTTTATTTATTTTGAGAGAGAGAGAGAGAGAGAGAGCGAGCAGGGGAGGGGCAGAGAGAGAGAGGGAGAGAGAGAATCCCAAGCAGGCTCCACACTATCAGCACAGAGCCTGAGGTGGTGCTTGATCTCACAAACAATGAGATAACAACCTGAACTAAAATCAAGAGTCGACGCTCAACCCACTGAACCACCCAGGCGTCCCTCAATACAGTTTATTAAGAGGTGAAATCAGGGAAAGTAACCAAGGTGGGCTCAGGTCTCATGGGTGGCAATGGAGCATGGTGGTGAAGAGCACAGAGTCTGAACCCAACTGCCTGGGTCTGACTCCTCCTTCCACCACTTATTTCTATCTGTCCTGGGAAAACTTATTAAGATCTCTGTGCCTCAGTTTCCTCATTGGTAAAAGGAGAATACAAACTAATCTCAGAAAATTGCGCAAGGACTACATGAGCCAATACATGCAAAGCATTTAGCACAATGTCTGGAACACAGTGTGAACTATTGTTACCATTACATAATGCTGTGGAGCCTACATAAAGTGGAGCCCATAGCTTTGGGGGCTTTGGTGGGTGTGAAATCAGGAGAGGCTTCCTAGAGGCAGTGACAGCTGAGAGGAGATCTGAAGGATGACAGGAATTAGCAGGCCAAGGTACAAGGTATTTGGGGTGAGGTGAATGTATACTAGGCAGAAAGAACACCCAGATTCTTTAAATCAGTGCTTTCTCAAACTTTGATGTTCATAAAAATCATCTAGGCATCTTCTTTAAGTGCAGATTCTGATTCAGTAGCTCTGGAGTGAAACATTCCTTTTTTTTTTCTTTCTTTCTTTTTTTTGAGAGAGAGACAGAGAGAGTGTGAGTTGGGGAGGAGCAGAGAGAGAGGGAGACAGAGAATCCCAAGTAGGCCCCGTGCTGTCAGCACAGAACCTGATGTGGGGCTCAAACTCATGAAACCATGGGATCATGACCTGAGCTGAAATCAAGAATCAGACGCTTAACCACCTGACCACCCAGGTGCCCCTGGAGTGAAATATTTCTAATAACGTTCCCAGGGAATGCTAATGATGCTGGTCCCTGTCCTACACTTCCCCACCAGAGCAAGGTTTGAACTGGGTGCAAAATCTCAAGAGGAAACTGCCAGCTATTTAAGGATAGCTGGTGTGCAAACTGCTGGGAATGGGGTTTGGGAACTGTCGTGCCAGGTAGAGAGAGAGAATAGGAACGATGAGATCTGTGATGTTGATCACTGCCTAAGGGGCTAGATCACAAAAGGACCTACAAGAAAAGAAAAAAGAAATTTAGAACATAAAGAGGGCTTTAGCTACCAAATGGAAAAATAGTCTTGAGGGAAACCCTGTTGGAAGAAATGAGACCAACTAAGAGGCTTTCTCCTTAAGTACTGTGAGAGATGGTGGTGGCATCAGCCTTGGCGATGGAGAGAGGTGGGGGATTTCAAGAGTTATTAGATCACAATTTGGTGATCGATTTGCTTACGGGATGAAGGGAGGGAGAACACAAGGAAGATAGGCACGAGGTGATCAAGTTTGACTCAGCTGCCTGCTACAGTCAAGCACATGGAGAAAAACTGCTCATCAATGGCACATACAGGCAGTGTCTTCTCTATCTCAAGTGCTCCTGCTACTTTTGGCAACTGTAGATCGGCTTTCTTCAAACTACTTTCAAACGCTCCATTTCTACTAACTACTCAAGGCCTGGTAGAGAAACACAGAGCCAGGAAAGTAAACCTGTGCTTCAAAATTTCCGTACTTACTCTCTTAGTTTTTGTTCATCAGTTGTGTAGGGTGTGTTGGCCTTCCCACATTAGCTGTTACTTTTTGAGGGCAAGTGCTGATGACCCAGTAGGCACCTAATAAGACATGCTAGGTGACTATTTGATAGAATACAAGATGATTACACATTAATGCCATTTATTATCTCACAAAATAATAAAAGTAATAACATCTGTAAGGTGTTGAGTGTTTTACATGCATTATAAATGCCATCATCTTCTTTTGTTTATCAGAATCATCTGAGATCCTTACAACCAGGCTGTTTGTTTTGACTACAGCCTCCTCGAATTTAGTGTAATAGAATGGAAGCCTGTCCTATTACTGTTGAGCTCGACTGCCACCTACTGTTCAGGTACTTACTAAGTTCATAAATGGCGCTCCCTCTCGGCTCTATTCTTTGCTATTGAATATTTGTTTTCTGCAGATCTCAGGGGCTTTCTATGCTTTGAGTTTCAACCCAGAGTAGGTGTAATTTTTGAAGTTTCTGGTGTTCCATTATAGCAATCCCACATGATACTGACAATTTTCTCTTGTGGGCAAAGAGTTTATGCCTTTATGGAATATTAAACATTTTAAAATGTAATGACACACTGGTTTTTTTTCATAGGCTTTTTTTTTTTTTTCAGTTAAACTAAAAGAAAAGGTCACAGAATTTTGGAAGAATTTTTCCCTACCTCAAGCAGACATCATTAACTTAAGACAAGACAGACATCTTGGCTACATTCCATTCAGAGTGTAAATCTTGCTCATCCTTCAAGGTCATTGTTTCAAATGATATCTTCTCCATAAAACTTTCCCTGATTCCTCATTCTGGAAGTAAATTCTGAATTGTTATAATGAATCACAAAGTGGAAGGACGATAAAAATTCCAATTAAAAAAATAGCTTTATAAACCAGTTCCCTCATTTTCTCTTTTCTCTTGGTTCCTTTTTTTTTTTTTTTTTTTTTTTTTGTTTGGAGACAAATAAAACTGGACTCTCAGCTGTAACAATCTTATAAAGTGTTTGTTTTAATAAAGGAACATTTTAGGAAGGGCAAGGCCAGAAGCAGGGACACTGTTGGGTGATGGGGTGAGATTTTATTTATTTATTTCTCTCTCTATTTATTTATTTATATATATCAGGTGAGATTTTAGGCAATTCATTTTGACTTTGAGTGCTGTGAGACTTTAGCCTATCCGTTGTCCTTAGGTACTAGATGGTGAGGATTTCAAAGGTTAATGAAGTTATGAAAATAGTTTAAAGAAGGGGGCACTAAGCAAGAAGAATTTATTTGAGTAAATTTCTGGTATAATTTAGGTATCTGGGAGTAGTTCAGTGGCACTGTATTTAGTGGGGTGGCTATGTGGTGGTGACCAATGTCCTCCCCGCCCCCCGCCCCAGGTACCCTGATTTCACAGATCTAGATGGAAGTCCAGTCTCCGCTACAGACTAAGATTTAGCAAGTCATTTGAGTTTCCTCACAGGATAGGATTAAATTTTTCCTCTTCTGCGCATTGTGTGTTATTTCTACCTAGGTCCCTCTCATAGGTGTTTGCATGCTTTTTCTTACTCTCGTTCAAGGTCACAGAACCTTGGCGCGGCGCTCTCTGGGAGTCTGCAGTGCCGGCCCTGGGTTCCTCCCTTACACCTGCGGTTTCTCTACGGTCACAATCACTGATTCGATCGCACACTTGCCATCTCACGGAGAATGGAAGAAAATCCTCACACTTTACGTCAGCCCCACGTTGTGACGAGCCCTTGCAGGGACTACTAAAGTGCGGGGAGGCAGGCAAGGACCTCTTCTCGTCGTCCCTTCTTCCCTGGCCTTTTCTGATAAATATTTGGAAGGGGTGAGAGGGACGGCGGTGGGCGTGAAGGCAGAAAGGCTCTTTTTCCTGGTAGGAACACAAACCTTCGGGTCCTTGTTTCCGGAAACATTCTCTTCGGACCTGGGGAGGGGACCGACTTCCGGCTCTGACTTCCCTGCCTTTCGAGTTTCGAGCTCCACCGCTTCCGCCCAGAGTTGCCCTAGGCTCCGGCTCCGATCAGCTACTTCCGCCAGGAGTCCCAAGCAGCTCGGTCTCGGAAACTGACCCTAAAGCGGCCTCCTCCTTCTCCCTCCAGCCTGCCCACCTGAGGCCGGGCCCCAGGTGGCGGCAGAGGCTTGCTGGGCCTGTCGCGGAGCGTTCTCTCGGCCCGAGACCTGGACCTGGGGCACCGGGAGCACAAGAGAGACGCCCGGGCCTGGCCCAGCCCCAGCCCCTGTCTTCCCGCGGCCAGTGACGGTGGCCACAGGCCTCGCCGCGCCCACCCTAGCCTGGGGCGGGGCCCGGCCTCCCCGCCCCGTCCCCGCCCCTCCGGCCTGCCCCGAGCCAGGTCAGTCTGGTCCCCAGCCCTGCGGCGGTGTAACCGCCTCGGACCTCCGGGACTCTGCAGTCCCGTGGCTCCGGCCGCGGGGCAACATGGAGTTTGCGGAGCTGATTAAGACCCCGCGGGTGGACAATGTGGTGCTGCACCGGCCTTTTTATCCCGCCGTCGAAGGGACCTTGTGTCTGACTGGTCACCACCTGATCCTGTCTTCTCGGCAGGACAACACCGAGGAGCTGTGGCTTCTCCATTCAAACATCGACGCCATCGACAAGCGGTGAGTGCCCATCCCACCCCCTTCCCGTAGGGAGCTTGGGGGTCCTTAGGTGGACGTTTGAGGCCACGCGATACAGTGTTTTCCTTGCGCCCCATCGCCTAACCCGCCAGCAACATGAGCCCTCTCTGGCCTAGATTGAGGATAGGAATTTTAGAAAGCAGAAAACCATTCAGACGAGATGCCTGATTTCCGTTAAATCTGGGTGGAATTTCCAGGGTTGTCACATGGTTATCCTGATTATCATTTTTGGCACATAACATCATTTGGGTGGATTTTCAACCTTAAAAAAAATTTCTTCTTGCACCATCATATTCCTTGTATTATTGATTATTGATTGCCCGTCACAGTTCTTGAAGTGGTTGAGTGTGATTTAGGTAAAGTCTTTAGTTGCCACTTTTGAGGAAAACTCCAAGAACTTCGTGTGTAGTGTCTAAAGTTCACAAAACTTTTTTTTCCTTTCCCTCAAACATGTTTAGTTGATCATATTTCTCCTTATTTCTTACTTTCTGGGTCATCAATTGAATACTTCCTACCATAGGAGATTTAATATCTTTTATTTATCCTTACTAGGGTCTGCTTTTGGAAGAAACAGAATTGGCTCTTAATCAAAAATATTAATTCATTAACCTCTTTTTTTTTTTTCTTTTTGCACCCCAGACTCTGTCTTTCCAAGGTGGTGTCTCAGAGTCAAAAAGTTATACATCCATCTGCAGTCAAAATTCTTACTTCCCCAATGGCTCTGTGTACTTTAGTCAGGAGAAGGTGAATTGATCATCCACTTTACACTAAAGTGTAAATGAATGACAACAGCCTTTTTTATTACCTCTCAGGAAAACTTGGATATTAAGAAGATTCCTAGAGGGGTTATGCCTTAAAAGAAAATAATTTCTAGTGGTAGAATTTGAATGGTATGGATGCATTGGTGACAGATTTATTTATTTTTTTTTCAAGCAGAGGATTCTTGCTAGACTCCTCAGATCAACCTTCTCCTGTGTAAAAGTTTTCGATGGTCTCTTCCTGGCCTGCATAATAAAGCATAAACCTCTTAACTCTGTCATTTGTAGTGCTCCGTGTCTGGCCCTAACTTACTTTTCCCACTTTGGTTCTTGCCATTCCCTTTCACGAACCCTTTTTATTAGCCAGTCCTCACTCTTTATTTTTGCTCGCCGTGTCCTGCATTCTCTTGTGTATATCGTATCGATGCTCTTCCTTCTGCCTGGAATGCCGTGTTCCTCCCAAGTTTGTTAAAGATTTATTGAATGTCGTTAGGGTCTAGACATTTTGGGAGGCTTTAAGAACATCGAGATGAATAAAATATAGTTCTTGTCTTTCAGGACTTCATAGGTCATCATCCAACCTCTATTCGTCTATCAATATTTAGTTTAACCCTGTTAACTGCCACCTCTTTTTGTAGGTTCTTCCTACAAAGAAGGAATTTCCACAACGAGAAGTAATTCTCACCTTGAAATCCTTTAGCTCTTTAATTATACCTCTTTAATAAGTGTATGTTACCATTTGTATTTTGATAGTTACATAGATGTTAGCTCCTTGAAGTCAGTACTTAACATTTGGTTGATTTTTATCTCTTTCAAAACTCCTAACGTGGGCAGATAGGCATATAGGAAGTATAAGATGGATTGACCCCCAAATGGTCTGTGGCGCTATAGAATACAAATTACTTATTTATTTTTTAAATTTTTTAAAAATGTTTTTTATTTATTTTTGAAAGAGAATTAGACAGAATGTGAGTAGGCGAGGGGCAGAGAGAGAGGGAGACACAATATGAAGCAGCCTCTAGGCTCGGAACTGTCAGCACAGAGCCTGATGCGGGGCTTGAACCCACGAACCCACGATATCATGACCCAAGCCAAAGTCGGATGCTTAACTGACTGAGCCACTCAGGTGCCTCTGAAGCAGAGTTTCTCCTCACCACCAACTCCCTTTTCTTTTTTTCTTATTTCTTTTTCTATGGTTGCTTTTCACACTTTCATTTCATCATATTTACGTAGCATTTACTACATGCCAGGCCTGGTAAGGCTAACAGAGTATATAAGACATGACATTTTAACCTGTTAGGGCAGAAATGACAAATTGTGTATACATTTACCTTTTTCCCCAGGAAGCAGCATGATGTGATGGAAAGAACACGAGCTAGGTGGTCAGACCAGAGTTTGTTTAATTGTTGTGGTCAAGAAGTACTTCCATGTGTCTTCTATGTGCTGATCACTGTCTGGGCTCCGCAGGTACAGTGGTGACTAAGGTTGAAGAATTTGTGTACCAGTGGAGGAGATTCAAATAAATCGATGTCAGGTAATAAGTTCCGGGAAGGAAAATAAAGAAAGATGGGAGGGGAGAGAATGCCAGTGTATTTAGAAGGAATTTCAGAGAAGACAAGTGACATTTAAATGAATGACCTCTGAATGAAGAGAGAAAGCTAGCAGTGTGAATATGGGAAGAAGGAGCATTCCAGCCAGAGGGATCAGGGAATGCAAAGATAGGAATATGCTGGGCTTAGACAAGGAAAAACATAGAGACCAGTTGGCTGGAGGGCAGTGAGCAAGGATAGAGGCTAGAGGCCTAGCAGAAAATGGTTGGAGGGATAAGCAGGGGCCAGATGGTGTAGGGCTTTATTTGCCGGTGTGATGGTTTTCACAGGAAGCCCCTGGAGAGTTGAAAGCAAGGAAGTAAGAGCAGACAGACTTTGTAGATGGTTCCGGTCGCTGGCAGAAAATGGATTGCAGAGGGGGAAGAGTGGAAGCAGTGGGCCCAGTCAGGAGACTGTTGAATAGTTCAGGGAAAAGGCGGTGGTGACTTTAGAGTGGAAGCGGCGGCACCTGGGTGGCTCAGCAGGTTAAGGGTCGGACTTCTGCTCAGGGCATGATCGCACGGTTAGTTGAGTTCGAGCCCCGCATCGGCTTCTGCACTGGTGATGCAGAGCCTGCTGGGAATTCTTCCTCTCCCTTTCTCTCTGCTCCTTTCTCCCTCTCTCTCTCTCTCTCTCTCTCTCTCTCTCAATAAATAAATAAATAAACTTGAAAAAAAAAGGAGTGGAAGCAGTAGTAGCGTGATCAGAAGCAGGCCAGTTTGGGGTGTGTTTTGAAGGCTGAGCTGCCATGCCTCGTGAGTGAGTTGTAAATGCGATGTGAGAGGAAGAGCAGTATTAAGGATGCCTCTTTTAGTGCTGCCTCCGGTGGGGTAGGTGTCCTTGGACACGCCACTTAACCTCTCTGAACATCAATTCTATCACACAGAGGAAGACAGCCCTTCTCGTATCTAGTAGTAACTTCTATTTGGGTAACATGTCACAGGCTCATGTAGTGCTGTCGTGCACGTTGCATACATAATTTGATGTGGTCCTTTCAGCACGCAAGGTGTTACACAGGTTTTACAATTATACCTTTTTCTTTTCATGGACCTCACATGTAGAGAGTTGAGTCAATCCTACTCAGTTGATGACTCATCATTTTCAGGATGGATTCATTAGAAGGTTTTCTTGTTTGTTTTGTTTTTTTTTTTTAATTTGATTCGTCTTCAAGCCCTAATTTTCATGCCTGTTTTCTCCCTCATCCTCAGTCCCTGTAGGCAAGTTATGCTGAGTGTTGCTATTTGTCCTTGGATATATGTATATTCCTATAAAATGTATAGCACCATCATGTGTGAGTTTAATTTCCCTCAGTATGAGTATGTTGCAGATCTTGTTCTATTTCTCAACATTAACTCAGTACTCTTGTTCAGGATCTCTTCCTATTGCTGTGTGTACATCCATTTCACTGCTTCTGATGGCAGAATAGAATCCCAAATTATCTACCACATTCTGCTTTTCTGACCCTCCAGAGAACCTCCAACTTCCTGATGTCACGACATATTCTGCCCCTCCCCCGCTTCATGTGTAAATTCTCTCTCTCCCTCTTTTAAAAAAAAATTTTTTTTTAATGTTTATTTATTATTGAAAGTCAGAGAGAGTCAGAGCGTGAGCAGGGGAGGGGCAGAGAGAGAGGGAGACACAGAATCCAAAGCAGGCTCCAGGCTCCGAGCTGTCAGCACAGAGCCCGACGTGGGGCTCGAACTCACAAACCTCGAGATCATTACCTGAGCCGAAGTCGGATGCTTAACCGACTGAGCCACCCAGGCGCCCCTCTCTCCCTCTTAAAAAAAAAAAAAAATGCTTAAAAGTTGGGTTTGTTGTCTTTCCAGCATTGATTTGCACCGGTTCTGTGTATACTCTTGAGGTATTATTCTTTACTTGGACATGGCAAATGTCTTCTAGTCTCTCACCCATTTGTTGACTTTTCTGTGGTGTTCTTTGTTGAACAAAAGGCCTTAATTTTAATTCAGAATTCATCAATTTTTACTTTATTGTTTGTGCTTTTTAAGTTATACTGAAGAAGATCACTAGGATATTCTCTACATTTTCTTCCATATTAGCTTTATCCTTTTACCCTTCACTTTTAGTACTTTAATTCATTTGGATTCTACCTTCATTTCAAGTTTTTTTCCCCATGTAGCAAGCCAGTTTTCTTAATACCATTGTCTAGCAACCCATTCTTGACTGATGCATCATAACATATATCAAGTGGTTTCATATATGTATAGCTTTCTCTGTGTCCCATAAGTTTTGTAATGTTATGTGTTTGTTTCCATTTGTTTCTATTTTTTTCTAATTTACTGTGTGATTTTTTTTTTCTTTGATCTCTTGGTTGTTTATGTGTTTAAAAAAATTTTTTTAATGTTTATTTTTGAGAGAGAAAGAGAGTGTGAGCAGGGGAGGAGCAGAGAGAGAGGGAGACACAGAATTGGAAGCAGGCTTCGGGCTCTGAGCTGTCAGCACAGAGCCCGATGTGGGGCTCGAACCCACAAACTGTGAGATCATGATGTGAGCCGAAGTCGGATGCTCAACCGACTGAGCCACCCAGGTGCCCATGGCTTGGTTGTTTATAAGTGTAGTGTTTAATTTCCATAATTTTGCGAATTTTCCGGTTTTCCTTTTGTTGTGGATTTCT